AAACAAATATTTCCAGTTCCGTGTGTATTCGTAATGTACTTTATCTTATTCTTCAAATGTGGTTGTAATAATCCACTTCGTTTCCATGAATTGATAATTGGGTATAAACTACCTCTTTTCCTGTTCCCGTTAATAATAGGTAATTTCCTGAAAAACGACTGTCTTGAAAGTCTCTAAATCAATACAATATTACAAAATGTGCCTGTTATTATGGTTTATCAACGTTTACCGTTAGAAACTTTGTCACGAGGGATCTTTTTCTTGTCAGCGATGGTGTGGAAGTTGGCAGAAAATCGATTCTTCATTACTTACCACAGTAAGTGGTGTCGATGAAGCAAGTAGCTTTAGGAGGGAAATAAAATGTCTCATTCAACATCATTTGGGGTGTAATAAAGCTCCCAAAGACTATATGCCGGGATTCTGTGTACATTTAAGTCTCTAATTTGCTTATGATATAGTATACTTAATCATAGCTTATTTCATCTCTTTTACACGTAATGTGAAGTAGAAAGCCTTTGTAGTAAATTATAACAGTGTGTTCCCCTCAAGTCAACACCGTTGATGACTGTGATGAAGTAATCAACACTAACTGTGAATTCAATTCTTAGATATTTTATGAAAATAATACTAAAGGAAACGTTTAACTAGTGGTCGTGCGACAGCACATTCTTTCCCACGTTAATTACGGCCATCCAGAACTTTAGCTCTACAAACGTTTATTAAAACGATAGTTTTTTTTCTCTGCCATTTACGCTACCCATATACCAATAGCTTCACTGCACAACCCCTTCCGACGCATTCAGAAAACGTGAACATTGAAATTGCAATTTCAAAAAATTAAAAACTTTTCATGAACATTATTAGATGTGATAGTTCTAAGGAACATATTTCATTAACGAAAAAAATGCTATAAAGAATTTGGAGTTTTGCAATGTAATTTTTTGGATTGAAAACCATATTAATGTTTTTCTATTTTTTCGTTTGTTTACGGTTCTCAAACGAAACATAATGGTATATTTAATACCCTAGCATGGCTTTTGAGGTCTTTATGCCCGCACGTGCTACTTGGTGTTTAGAGTAGCCTTGTTGTACTTAATGTTTTCACTCCTAAGGCAACTTCCAAACCCTTAGACCCTCGGGTTTGTAGTTTTTAAAAAAATATAGGTTCGCTCTATATTCATAAATAACTATTTTTTTTACTAATATGTTAGAGCTTATTATTGCCTTCGATATAACGCTCGATACACACTGCGTAACTTATCAGGATCGAAAGAATCGTTGTTGAGAGGGAAACATGAAAACAGCTGAATAAATGCTACATATTCTCTTCTGGGGGGAATTGCGAGAGGGGGGATTGCGAGAGGGGGGGATTGCGAGAGGTGACTGAAAAGAAAAACAGAGTCAAGTTAACATCTAGTTAATTTGTAAATAAAACCATATACTTTCTTGCAGTATTGGAAACAGTTGCGATATATTGAAACATTTATTCTCTACTAACATTTCAGCTATAACTTGAAAAAGTAAAGTTCAATTTTTTGAAACGAAGCTCCTTCAGTGCATATCTGCATTATTTCGATAGCGAGGACAGCCATTTATTACTTTAATAAAGGAAAAAAAGTAATAAATTGAACTATTACAGTATGTGCAGCGTATTATATAGAAAACCAAGAATAATTTCACATAAGCTTGCCTCCATTATATTGAAGTGAGCTTCTTAGTAAATTTTCAGTCAGTTTTTTAGTACATCATCAGCGATCACAAATTCTTGAAGTAAAAGAACAGTATTTGTTAGTTCTAAGTATTACCCTCCTTAGAACTCCTTCCTTTCATAAGAATATTATATACGATCGTCACGACGGACAACTAGGACAAAAGTTCTAAGAATTTCCAACCACCATGTTGCCATTTTCCGAACGCAGGAAATTCGCGTCAAACTATGCGCGGGAAATTCGAATTTACAATTCCGAATGTCAACTTTTGATAATAAAGTGTGTCCCCACAAAAGGTACCAGCTCCACTTTCTTTGCCGTTCTTTGCTACGCAGGAGAGACAAAATTCAAGGAAAAACTTTGTGCCATTTTGAAGACTCTTGAAAATTTAAAAATTTTCATTGTTTCATGTAAAATTATTCAAAAACGTCTCGTATTTAAAAAAATTGAACATGACCTTATATGAATATCTGTTTTTGATGAACAGGTTTCATTTTGAAAACAAATCAGCATTCATTATTGCAGTAGTAGGAAGATGTCGAAAAGCTTTAAAATTTTTGCAGTTTAAAAATCCAGGAAGCGCAACAAAATATGACCTATGCCATTTCTTTATACGTCATTGCTCTACCAGAGGACAAAATGTGGAGACATTTTTGAGAAAATTTTGAAAGTGTCGAGGCTTTATAAAAATAACCCTCAAAAATCAAAAAATCCTAAAGCAATTCACAGCGCCACGACATCAGTCCGATTAAGAAATACAATTTTGATCAAAATCCTATTCCAGGTTTAGTCACTAGTGTAGTTCATGCAGACAATCGATATTTTGGTATTAAAGGCCCACCAATCTTGCATTATGACTATACAACATGGTAGACAGTCATTTACCATATATAGGAAATTCGATCCAAGTTCTTAGAGCACAACAATTTTTTTTATGTTGAAAAATCGACGTTTTTCTTGAAGGTTACATAGTTTCTCTAGAAGGCGAAAGCAGTAGGTTAGAAAGTAACAATTAACACTCATTATTTGTTTAATTAAATTTGTTACATTTAATACAATGTTACACTTAATACAATGTTGCACTTAATACATTGTTGCACTTAATACATTGTTGCACTTAATACATTGTTGCACTTAATACATTGTTGCACTTAATACAATGTTGCACTTAATACAATGTTGCACTTAATACAATGTTGCAATTAATACAATGTTGCAATTAATACAATGTTGCAATTAATACAATGTTGCAATTAATACAATGTTGCACTTAATACAATGTTGCACTTAATACAATGTTGCATTTAATACAATGTTTCACTTAATACAATGTTGCACTTAATACAATGTTAAACTTAATACACTTGATACAATAAAATACAATAAACAAATAGTAACTTCCCAAATAAGGAAAATTATTATGATATGATACGATACTGCGATCGTTTTTGTTGCAAGCCAATTACGACATAGGACCGGCTGAGGCGGCTCAGATCTCTGACCGGGAGATCTTAGGTTTCTCTTCCAGACACTAGTAGGATTTTCTACACTAGCTAGATAGCTAGATAGAATTCAGCCGCTGTCTTGAGGAAAATTCTAGCGTTCGGTTACTCTGATACGTAATTTTCAGTGGTTTTTTTATCAATAATTGGTGATTGCCCGAGTGGTATTTTCATTAACGGGCCGTGGACCGGGCGAAATCTTCCCTTCCTCCTCCTTGCTATGTCCATACACCTTATACACTCACTCACACACCCGCACACACACACGCACGCACACACACACTTTCATGCACCACACTACAAGACATGTTGGGAGACCAAACGGGATCTTAGAACTTGTCCCGTCTGGCGAAACCCCGCAGCTGACATGCATGGGTCAAGCTGTCATTAAAGGATCCTAAAATGCTAATGACACTTACGGTGGCCCAGTATTGAAAGATTGCTTCGATATCCTGAAATATTGGCATTGCGCGATTGGCGTGGCGTGGCGTGGCGTGGCGTGGCGTTGCG